GGGCGCTGTGTAGAATTGAGAAATAATTTCTGAGTTGTTAGAAGCCCCCACCTCTATAGGTGGTGGGTAGTTCACTATAAAACCGATTTCAACCTCGACAAAATGACCGAGCGAATGAGTAAGGAAATAGAATTGGTTAGAAAGAAAATTGAACCCGAAGGAAAAATATTAGAATGAATTCCTTATGAAAAATTGGAAGCCGAGTTAGAAAGACGGAAAAAATTAATTAATGCTTAACTGCTGTGAAATTAGAAATAATTTGGTCCGTTTTCTTAACAAAAAAAAAGCAGCCAAAAAGAAAATAGACAAGAAAAAAGGAATAATTATCGAAATTGCTTATATTGGTTTTTGCTGCCCGAATGATGTTAGCGATTTTGTAAATAAGGTTAAGATTTTTGTTTGGCAAATTAATAGTCTAAAAAGCAGTCTAAAAAAAAATCTCTGCGAGCATTGTCAAAAACAGGTTAACCACTTAGAAGGGTTAATTAAGGAATGAAACGAGATAGAAGAAAAATCTCAACAAAAGCACCACCACCATTAATCTTACTCATTTCTTTCTAAATAACAACCATAACAAACTCCCCAAATCCGGTAAATTTCCCAATCTTTATTAGTGAAAATTTCCTCTTCGCATGATTGACACCTGGCTTTTGACATATACTAAAATATTAATATTAATAAAAAAGCCCGCCATGAATTTCTCTCTTTAATATTTCCAAAATTAATCAATTTCTTAATGAGGGCAGTTGCGAATTTGTTATGTATAAAGCATCTAGGCGCCAGCAACTACCCTCATTCAAAAGTTAAGTTTTTATTGAGAACAGTCGCAATTCGCTCAATGAAGCAATAAGGTTTTTTTATACTCTACCAGCGGCTGTTCTCAGTCAAAAAATAACAATAATCTCCCCTTATATATATTGCTATATGCATAGTGCTATAATGCAAATGTTATGCTATATAACGCTCTTTTGTTAAGATATGAATTGCAAACTTCACATCTTATATTAATTTTCTATTTTCCAATCAATAATGCTTTCCTCAATTAGCCCTCGTAGAAGTTTGCAAACACCGAGAAACTAATGAGTTCAATTTGGAATTAGAGCCAATTGAGGAAAACAAAATTAATCTTAAAATTATTTTAAGCGTATGAATATCGAAGCACTAAACAAAGAATTACAAGAAAAAGCCGAACAAGGAGCCGTTAAGCCTTCGGACTTTAAGCAAAAAACGGGAACCATCCCCACTCCCCCTCCTACTCCTCCTTCACCCAAAGAAAAAACCCCGAAAAAGGACAAGGAAAACGGCAACAAAAAAAATGCTACTGTCTCGGCGGTTGTTAGTTATCGGGTAGAAAATATTGAAGGTGCGATTAAAGACTTTGACAAAGATTTAGCAATATTCAAAGATAGAGTTTTGGAAGAATTTAAGCAAACCGAAAAAACTTCGCTCTGAAAAAATATCATCCGTATTATTTCCACCCTAGCGGGAGTGGTTTCGGCAATCTCGGCTGCTTACTGTGCTTATAAACTTTGAACTGGAAAATAAATAATAATGTTTGACGAAATACAAAAACTCCAAGCGGAGAATGAACGATTAACCAAAGAAAATAAGGAATTGCGTCGGCTTTCTCTCCAAACCAAAATCCAAGATTTAGCCAACAAAGTTGATAGTTTGACCAAGTTAGCCGAGCAAAATCTCAAAGTGGGTGAAAGATTATTAGAAAAAGGTTTAGTAGATAATATTAATGCTTACACAGAAAATAACCGCCGCATAGCAGTTCAAGTGCAAGAATATCAACGACAATCCGAAGAATTGGAACAAGCCCTAAAAAATTTGGAAATAGTGGCCCAACAAGAGCAAAAATAATAGCAATTGGGTTTTTTTGAATGGGAACCTCGAAAAATCCTAAATATGAGCGACAAAAACATTTCCGATTATTACGCCGATGCTGCCGATTTTCACAACGAAGCCCTAAAATACTTCAATCCTAAGCCAATAGAAAAAAGCGAGTTAAACGATTTTTTTGCTTACTGCTTCACGCATGGAATTTACAATGCTCTAAAATACGACACCATTGCGGGATATTTTGAACGCACTATGGCAAAACTTTTCCAAGAGATTGCTTTTGATTTTATTTTCATTCATAAAAAAATGGATATCTGAAACGAGGTGCAGCAGAAATTTGAAAACTTATTTTTGCCGGTAGAAATTGTTAGCCAAAAATTAACTCTGGGCGAAACCAAAGAAACTACCCAA